GGTCATGTCGCCGCCGCCAGCGACGCCGACGTCCACGCAAGGCCAGCGAGCATACCTCAGTAGTCATCGTCTGTTAGGCTCAGTCGGTCGCGCTCTGCCGCGTCGGCGACGACGACGTCCACTCCACCTACCCTCGCGCCTGCCTCGTCATCCACATGCGGCGCCGACGAGGAGGCCTCAATGCAGAGGTCGATGCGACTTGTGGCTCCTGCTCGACCCGAACATGAAGCTTTGTGTCGAGCCTTGGTCAAACACAAGTCAGGGCTGACATAGGCCGAAATTAAGGAAGAATGCGGTGGTTGAGAGAGAAGAAATAGGGGGAGGGGGCTATGTGTTGAAAATTTGAAAAGTCATGGGGTCAATGAGTATGGGAAACCAGCCTAGGAAACTCAGGGACAAACCTTTGGGAAAAGGTAGCTCACGAAAAAAAAAAATGAATTAAATTAGCTCGTGAGAGTTGGAAGGATTAGACTTCGCTTGACCCAGTTAGTCTCCTTCGAGATGGATCGGGTCAATGAGTACGAAAAACGAGCCTAGGAGACTCAGGAACAAACCTTGAGGTTAAACCTATGTAAAAATCATCCTAAGGACTCTCTTTTGGAAAAAAAAAAAGAAAAATATAAAAGAAATGTTAGCCTTGTCGGTTTCGTGCTTATCGGTTCTTATATATTGATTAGACCGTTCTTAGCTTTTTGCACATGTATTTAGAAAAAAAGGAGTTTGAAATGAGTAATCATGTGTAGAATGACTTGGGACGAGTTTTTGTTTTGTATGAATTCATCTTGTGGAGACCGTGTTTTGGAATTTGAGTTTTATTTTGTGGATAACAGGAGGAAGAAGAGAGTTCCATTTCGCTTTATCATTAATTTTGGACCTTTCAATTTTTTTCTCGAGCTTTTTGTTGTTTTGTTTGCTTGAGGACAAGCAAAAAGTTAAGTGTGAGAGAGTTGTTTTGTTGTTATTTGTGTGTTCTTATGTGTTCTTATGTGTTTAGGGCTTGACTTTTAGGGAAAATTATTTGTGCCTGAATTTTTAACTTTTGCATTTGATGTTTTCAATTTTAAGTTATTCTCAATTAAAGGGTTACTTTAC